CCCCAAAACCCCAAAACCCCAAAACCCCAAAACCCCAAAACCCCTCTGTCGGGATCAGAATTGAATTTGGATGATAAAAATAACTAGTTTGCGGCATCATTAAGAAATATGAGGGTTATTGGATCTCTTCTATGCTATAAAGCTTTCCATTATCTTTGATTTTTCCTCTTCTCCAAATTCCATCAAACACCTTACCATCTGATTGAGTATATTTACCTGGCCCATCAAATTTATCCAGGTGAAAATGTCCGTCATAAATATCTCCATTGTCATATTTAATGATTCCTTCTCCATGTTTTCTTCCTTCGTAGAAATTACCTCTGTAGATGTACCCTTCATTCTTATTTGTTTTTGAACCTTTGATTGAATCTAAAATTAAATTTTAAAGATACTTCTATTTCTCCTCTTTTTGACATTCATTTGACCAAATCCATGCATTTTATTGTTCTCTAAGTTACCTTGATAAGAATCACCATTAGACCAAATGAATTCTCCGTATCCATTCTTTATACCATTGATAAATCTGCCTCTAAAGGTAGTCCCGTCTTTCATGATTTGATATCATTCCCCATGAGCCTTCCCTCTCTTCCAGTTACCTTTCATCTTAGTTCCTTCTTTGGTGAGAATAAAAATCCCATAGCCTTCAATTTCACCTTGTCTAAATTGCCCTTGGTAAACTTTCCCGTTGATGTAAGTAACTCTGCCTACACCATCAGGTTTACCATCTTTAAAGAATCCCATATGGATAGATTTATTTCTAGTAATACTAACTCCCCTGCCTTCAGGAAGCTTAGTCTCTGGGTTCCACTCACCAAAGTAATATTCATCTTCTTCTAATTTTGTGACTTCTCGTATTTCCAGCAACTTCAAGTTAAGGTCCAAATTTTCAACATCTATAGAAAGAAGGATCAGCTAAAAGAACTCTTAAGCTCTTTCCTTACCTGACTTATTTATATGAAAACTCATAAGCTTTCATGTCACCAAAGATGTTTTTATAAATGGCATATAATTCGGGGTCGATATATTTCTTTAGCTTATTTCATTATCTTAGGTTTAAACAATTTGGAGGATCGACCTGGTCTTTTAAAAGTAATCCTATCGTCATTAAAAGTATCTTGATCCCTCATCTCCTTTGTAGTTCTTTTATCCATACTGAAGAAAAACTTATCAGGCTCAAAATCGGAATCTTGTGATTCATATTCTGAAGTATCTGTTATGAATGTTAAACTGTTTCCGACTGTGATCCTTCTACCTCCGGTTCGTCTATAAAATAAAATAGATTTAAACTTAAGGAATTTCTTGAACAAGATGGTAAGAGAAATGGAAAATCTCAGAGTTAAAAGTACCTTTTAAACCTTAATTTCTGAACTAGCAGCTCATTATTTTTCTCTACTCACATATTGCAAGAAGAGTTTGTCATACAGGCATTTCCCATTTATTAATTAATTCAAGAAATTTAACTAATAATGGGGTTTTGGGGTTTTGGGGTTTTGGGGTTTTGGGG